CTGAAAAAAGGGAAAAAAAATAAGGAAAATTTAACATTTACTAGCCAACAGGTTTCAAATTTGAATTTTTAAAAGCGGTGGACAATAAGAAGGTTGATGGTATTTACATTATTTGAAAATAGGTTTAAAATTTGAAATTTTGAAAAAAAAACGGTTAGTTTTTTGAAAAAAAAAAATCTTTTGGAAAATGGTTAAAAAAACATATTACCCTCTTTCCTCTACACAGACTTGCCGAGTTTGAGTGCTAAACTCGACATGCCCAAATGATGGGATGGTGTGAGTCGAGGTGAGTCACCACATGTCGAGGTGGTGCCAAACTCACTCCTATTATTAGACATAAGTGATATTTAGGAGAATGTTAGATAATTTGTTGTTTTAAAAAAATAGTCTAAGAGTTCTTTGAATTTTTTTCCAATGAAAAAGTTTTTGAAAATTTAAAAAGGTATATTGGAAAAATCAAATAAAAAAGATCCGCCCTCCTAAAGCATCCACAATAAAAGTTTTTTCAAAAAAATTTCAAAATAGAAAGTTCTTTAAAACTGAAAATGCTATTGTGGAAGCTTTTTTCAAACTCATTTTTTTTTCAAATATCTTATTAATTACTAGGTTATTCACATAAATTTTTTTACTAATTGTGTAAATCTCATATTTCTTCAACCAATTATAATAAAACAACTAAAAAAATAACCCTCATAAAGTAATTTGAAAAAACTCTATTATTGTGACAATGAATTTTTTATATAAGGTTATTTCATGAAAAACTCATTGTATCTTATATAATAAGAGAGCATTTTCAAATTGCTTTTTAAAGGTTGTTTTTGTGTTACATATGTGGTTTAAAGGAAAGAAAAGCATACATGAGCATACATATATAATTTGCATGAGGATAATGTATATCAAATTTTGACAAAACTCGTGTAAAATAAAGTAATAGTTTACTCCAAAATCAAATAAAATATTTATATACACAAAATTCATCAAGAATATACTTAACATCAATAACTATATCTGTTTTACCCACTGTCATCTAGAAGGCTCGATCACTAGCCTTTTGATTAATATTTATTTTTAAAGTTCAAGGCTTGTTTAATCCTTGAGAAGGTCATCCCTCTAGGTCCATAATTTTCTTCTCAATACAACAATAAATTTCAAAGACATTATTTATCCCTATGTGGATCATGCTAATGAGTTTGGTGCTCCCATCATAAGTAAGAGGTTGGCATCCAAGTAATATCTTAAAGGAACATCATCGCTTCTCAAATTCATCACAACCTCCCATCTTCGAAGGGTTCACCCCTCCCTCAATAGGGTAACCTTATGTATTATTTTCCACTACCCTCTTTAACATTAGAATCATGACAACTTTTTTTAAGGAGTTAGAGAGATTTTTTCTATATTAAGCTAACAGCACCATAGTTTCCTTATTTTGTTATGTTGGAATATGTTGCATGATTACATCATTTCTTCAATGGTAAGAAACAACATAGATTGAGACCGGACTTTAGAACTCTTTCCAAAAATCATTATTAATAGTTTGAGGTATCATATTAGCCTCAATTTCTTCATGGTTTTCCTAGCTGTTATGTATTCTCGTCATCTTAATATTGTACACATTAAGTGCACTTTAGTATAGTGTTACACATGCTAAATAATACACAATGATAAATATCAATAAAAATGATAATAACAAACTAGGGATGAGAATTTGGCCCGAAAACCCGAACCGAACCGAATTAGGCCTGAATAAGCAATTCGATTCGGGTTTCGGGTATCTATATTATGATTATTCGGTTCTCGGGTTATTCGGTTCGGGTTACCCAAATAAGAGCTTATTCAGTTCTAAATATCCGACCGAATAAGCATTCATCTTCCCCTTTCTCAGATCGACAAAAATCAAAATCACGATTTATACTTTTGTCCTCGTCGTTCATAACAGAAAAAACCCCTATGCTCGTTCTCGTCGTTTCAAAATCGATCAATCTTCTCATCTATTTCCAAACTCGAAATCACTTTTGTCGATCCTTTCCTCTTGTTTCCAACTTTCAAAAATTAATCTTTGCTATTGTCTCTAAGGATTCATGAATTCCTACTTTGTCTTGTTTCAAACTTTCAAAAATCACCCCTTGCTAATATGTTAATCTACTATATAAACGTTATTCTTTCAATGTGTTATTGTGTTATGTTAGTCTTTGAATGTTTTGTGTTGATGTATAAAAGCACATTGTTATTCTATTATTTGGGTTATTCGGGTTATAGAATCCCAACACGGTTTATTCGGTTTTTTCGATTATATTAGGTCCTTAATCATCTTGTACATATTATTTAGGTTATTCGAGTAATAACCGATCGAACCGATTAATACGTAAACCGAACCGAACCGAACCCGTATTGGTTAATCGGTTCGGTTTCGGTTCATGCAATTCAAGGTTGTAGAACTCGTTACTCGGTACCTGTTCGGCCGACTACCGAGTAGCGAGTACTCGGGGAGTACTCGGATTCGGTAATTCATGTAGAAATATTTTCAGGGAAATTAAAAATGTCAAAATCATAAGTTAAAATCATAAGTTGATTGAAATATATAACAAAATTAGATATATGTGATTACACAAAAACTAAAAAACACATAATGGTCTCACTTCGTGAGTATTACTGAAAATTTAAGATATATATGTAGTAATAATCACATGTGTATGTTAAATAATAAATCATTAAGTATATTATACATATTAATCACCGAGTTGATCGAGTTTTACAACACTGCCCAGTTCAGTAAGGAGTTGATCGGGGAGTACTCGGGATTCTGTAACTCGCCTCGGTAAGGGGCCGAGTAGCGAGTACTCGGAGGAGTAATCGACCAACTCGGCGAGTTTTACAACACTGATGCAATTACCCTTATTTGGTTTTCGGGTTATTCAGGTTCGGGTCGGTTCGGTCTGATTCCGACCCGAATAACATCCCTATAACAAACAATAAGATAAGTAACACATAATAGCATATAAGGTTCTCAAACTAAGGCATGTTGGTAGTCTTTTTTTAGAACGACTAATTCACACACCTACTACTGTATTCCTAAAAATCTATACCTTTCTTTCTAAACGGCACTTAAACCATCAACATTTCGCTAAGGAATACATTTTCGTCGACTCCTCATATCATCAGGCCACATTCCTTTGGTATGTAGGTACTCTATTATTGCAATAATTATCTTAAGCATCTATGTTTGAGTCTAGATACGTCAATCAATATCTAATTTACTTAAACTTATGCTTTGATAGCACATGTAACACACATTGCATGACCCGTTTTGAAAGAACAATATATTTTTTTGAAATAAAGTATTAAAACTTATTCTAATTATGAAAAATCTTAAATGTTTTAAACATTTAAAAGTTACAATAAATGTTTATAAAGGTGTTAGTGAGAGATGTGTCGGATTTATGTGCAATAAGCAAATATGTTAACTATATTAGTAATTGTATACAAATAATAAATAATAAATAATTTTTATGTGGTAAATAGTTTTTAGTCGATCAAAATAAATAATAAATAAATAGTTTTTTTATTTATTAGGCAATATAAATAAATTGTCTATATTATTATTATTATTTATAAGAATTAAATAACAAACTTGACTAATTAACTAATATGAGCTTGGATAATTAACTAGATTAAAAGGCTTAAGGGAATTAAAAAGCTCACCCAAGGAATATAGTTTTGAAGATTAGGGTTAATAATCATATTCTTAACTGGTGGCCCTCTCTTCTCTTTCTCCTTGTCAACAGTACAAATAGCCCCACCCCCACCCTTTAATCTATGATTTGGATGAAGACACGTAAAAGGATGATTCTAATTTCGAATTGATTCAAGAAACTATCATTCTTGGTTGCTCATGTATATACATGTGGAGGTGTTCATGTTGGATTAGTATCTAAGTCCATAACTATTTTGGTATGTACTTGACCTGATTATGAGCATGGTCCTTTTGG